GAGCAGGTGACACAGGGTAAACGGTGAAAGACAAAGATGCTTATTAAGACATTTGAGCATTAAAAATTTATATCTTAGATGCAATAATAAGGCTGAATGTATATATTATATCAATAAACAGCTCAGATAATTTTATGATTATTTCATAAATACAAAGCAGATATGCAAAATAGTTTATATTAACTACGTGGTCAAAAACGGCTTGAGGATGTTGGCTTTATTTCCAGTAGCTGAATATGTTCTTTACACCATTATCCAGAACTTTCGAATGATGTAGGTTTGTAGTAGGTGAAATAGAAAAATATATGTAGGTAGATCGCTCAGCAGACTACTTCTGCTCTAGCGGGACACCAGTATTCCACTGTACACTCTGGAAAACAATGATGCAGAGGTTTTCTAAATTCTTAATATGACACGCAGTGTGAGTCCTTTAGTACGGGATTATACCATACCAAGGCGTCTACCGTCAGTTCAACACTTTCTTGTTGGCGCTGTTTTACCCTGTCTCATTAAGGTAATTAAATCTCATTAAAACAAGTTGTGGGGATCAATTAATCGAAAAACGTGTAAGCATACGTCTGTGCCCCGAACGGGATTAAAAACGCCTTTGCAATGTTCGTGTGGACATAGACCGCAAGTCGCTTGGGATTCGCGCCGTTAATTTTGCTCATAAAGTAGTCCTAGCAGTTAATATAGACTCGTTACATACGATTAATCACTATGTTTCTATCTGTTCATAGTCTCCTAGATTTCACTACAAGTAATGATCCGTCGTACTGCTCTTCCTGAGGCGGTGATGCACGAGTATGAAGCAAAGGTTGAATCATGAATAAGTAACTCGTAGAAAACTCTGCTCCACTTCCACTTTGCAATGTCCTAATTGCTCACTTTATTCGTTTCAAAGTACAAATACTTTCCCCAGCACTTTGTTTTCAGACACTTGTAATTTATTTTCTTCCCTCAGACACTACGTTTATAGCCATCAGCAATTATTGTTTTGTATATCCTGATCGTCAGCATTTGGAAAGTTGGCATTATGGGCTTCGTGCAAAAGGTTATAGGTGGCCAACACAAACCGAAACTAAATTCGCTTGACTGTTTTTAGCGTAGATACCGGTGTCAAATCGAATCGAAATTTGTTCCGGTAAATTCGAGGGAGAAACGTGTATATAAACACTACCTCCCCAGTGTTTTATCTAAATAGATTGTAGCAATTATACGCGAGCCACAATAAACGCATAACCATTATTACTACATCATTAAACAGATGATTATTGGAAGGACATTCAATTGAAACTAATCTGGAAACTACAAGTTTCAAGCCGGTCCTCTCGAATGTCTGATTTTCACATCTCTTCTGACAACATTTACATAGAGAAAAGTAAGGTAATGATCAAAGATAAACATTTGTGTCAGCAATGTTATGAATCTGTTTTGCAATCTGATTTCTATAAACACCATAGAAAATGAAATCTTTATGTAATGAATGTACACTTATAAGCCTGTTATCTCAATTTTATGTGTTTTATAATTCCTGTCGTAGTAAAATCACTGGAATGAGTTTAATTTCACGATGCAAAACTGTAATGTCATTGAATCAGCAGTTAATATACAAGAAGTCCCAGCTGTCGTTTAGAATCTCTGTACTGAAAACCCATGTGGTTCTGAGTTAGGATTTTACCTTAAAGTTACTGAATTTAAAAGCAATTTTTCTTGCAGTATTAATTATAGCATTATCCTGTGCAGTTGAGTAGAACGTAACGTGCATTTCAACAAGGTTTCTAGGTAAAATAGCATGCCTTTTAATATCATCCTACATATTTCATTTCCCTGGAGTCAACGTTTCCATACTCACCAGCTGACGTGAAGTACAATCCAGGTCCGTTGTGACGTTTCTTTCTTTTCTTTTCTTTTCTTTTTCTTCGAAAAGCAAATCACAGTTGCAGAACCACCAGAATCAAGAGCTCACAGCAGAATGTGTGTCACTGAACATACCTGATCCGACCGCCCAACAGTAATGAGCGAGAGGATTCGAAGCATTGCAAAAATGATTCCCCCCACCCTTCCTGAATTTCATTCCATCATCATCACATAACATGAAGGAGGGGGAGAGGACAATCACTGCACAGAGGGGAGGGGAGAGTGTTGTTCGGTGCAATGACAGTAGACAAAAACTCCTTAACAGTGGACTATAAAAATGCTGGTGTTCGTGGAGAATATGGAAATGTTGGTACACAAGTCTTATACGCGAACTTCCTTCAGACTATGACAGTTTTCTGATAAAAGGGTTTCCTGATGCTACGGAAACAGAAAATTCTTCACCGTGTTCACAAGAGCTTATTATTCGATCCCATTCAGTACCATTCTGCGTCTGTAAGACCCGTTTAAGTGTTAAATCATCTCTTAAGGTTTTCCAGCCACAATTCTTTTCTTCTTCAGCACGTCCTACTTGCCTTGCTTATGTCGTAATACTTCATTACGTAAACATAATTGTAAAGTTCCTCAACATATATGTTTCTCCATTATCACCTTGATATGCCGCCTTGATAACCGTCGCCAAGAAATATGGTCCAAAAACGGATATACAGCCAGTTTTATGGGATCCACTTGGCCTTGGATATAGAGAATGCTTTGCTATTGTTTCTTTCACAGCGATTTAGGTGATTCGAAGCCAGTTCTGATGCTAAATTTGCCTTGTCTTCTACTCCTGAGTCTTCCTTACCTCTTCTTCGTCTTGGTACTTTGTTTTCGCTGTGCCTTGTAGCCCGTTTCTTTTTCTGTCCATTTAAATTTACTCCGAGGAGCAACTTATTTTTTCGTTCTTGTAAAGCAAGAATCTAGATTTCGCGAAGGGTTCTTCTCATGTGTTCCGTGATAGATTTCTCAAATGGCGATTTTCATTAACAACACGGTTTAAAAGAGAAATTTTGTTTTGAAACTGCAAATCCGAAATCTGATCAGAAGTTAACTCTTTTGATCCTGGAAAGAATACGAGACAGCTGAACTATTTCTGATTGCTGAATTGCAGTCTTTAAATGTGAATTACTTTGCCTTTCACTTTTCAGAACTGTGCAGAAATGGACCGTTCTCTATTTATCTTAGTTTCTTTTCTGAAGCCAGATATATTCCCTGGACGTAGGAGTTTGGCATGCATACGGAAATTGAGCTGCATTGCAGCCAATGATTGTGTGCGTATGTGGTTGATTCGTACGTCTTTGATTGTCAACTGGATTCTGACGTCGCGTGATCTTTGTATGTTTAATGATGCTGTATGGGCTTCAGGTGTTAGATGGTGTTAATGCATGGTGAACTGGAATAAATTGGGGAATAAATTTCCTTGGTTTGTTGTGAATCCCAGTGCGACAACCATTCCAGCCATGACTCGCGGCAGACAGGAGTTACTTAAGAAAAGCTGCGATTGGCTCCTCAGAAGCTTACACAGCATTTAATGCCTCGAAGGTTTACATCATTCAAGCAATTCCGTTGAGAGCATGAATGCACATAACTACTTCAAGTAAATGCCACTATTCCACACAGATATCCTTGTGGAATAACAAACCAGCTGAATCTCTTCAATAGCATTTGGAAACGAAGGAGACTGGAAAGTTTCCAAATACTTTATTTACATTTCGATTACTTGTTTGGTCTTGATGTTTGTTTATTGCAGATGCAGATCTATTGTTGGGATGGCTAATGGACATTACAGATTCTACACTGCACCGCATACAGCCGTGACATGTTTGTCTATTGTTTAGTCAAATTAAATATTCACTACATCATAAATGATTTGAGTAAAGCTCGTGCGTGTTAATGAGATCTAGAGTCCCCTTTTAATAAAATTTATATAAATATGGTACGAGGTTCTTGTAAAGTAGTTTTCATCGGTTATATAAGCTAGCACCTCATTGTGGGGTATAATTAATTCCTTCCCTTGCGTTCTGTAAGTCTTATTTGACACAGAGTCTTTGAGCAATTTACGAATTAAGGCTGAAATACCGTTTCGAATTTCACACAGCATTACAAAATCAATGAGAAACGAGGAATATTTAGACGATTGCCCGTGCCTGCAGCTGTCTGAAATGGGTCAAGCCACATATCTGGCATGACATTCGTGATTTATATGTAAAACTTTTGAAACCAGTTCAGAGTCTCCCAGCCAGACTTTGAACTGCCAGTGGTACGAAAGACATTTGGCGCTGGCTTTAAGGTAGCTCGTTCCGTCAGTGATCCAGGAATCGTCACACCAAAATTTCTCCCGTATTATAAGTAACGTAATATAATAATTTGTAACGTAGTTTTCTGACATCTGTACTCCGAACTTACGGGACGTTACACGAATGGTACTATTTTTACGCCCACGTCATTTATACGACATCCATATGAGTGTTGCTGATGCCAAGGACTTGAAAAGTGTTTACCACCTTGGCGTGCTATTAGCATAACGTTCATACTCTTTTTCAAGACAATTGCTCACTTTAACACTGATGTCCGTAGTTAAATAAAAGGACGGACAGACAGACAGCATACATACATGCAAGGGCCCACACACACACTATGCAGCTCTCTTATAGGTCAAAAGGAACTGTGTTTTTAGAACCCTAAAATATGAACAAACGCAGATCTTTGGCTATTATTCTTGCTTAGTTGGGAGTAAAATTTGTTATTGGTCTACCGTCACAGTAGACCTGTTTTTATAATTTTTATCATAAGATGGTCTTAAATTTCTATAACCAAACTACTCGATTTGCAGGTTAATAAGAACGTGGGTTTGATGGAATTTTTCCCCAATCTTTACGATGAAAATTACATTTTTATAAAAATTCGTTCTTCTAAAGTTCATATTACGAGTTTCGCGGTTCATAAATATTAAGTGTGTCTCTGAGGTGTTTCTATAGAAATTTTCGTTGTGATCAAAATAATTGTCATTATCATAGTTACAATAAACCAGATATTTCACCCGTCACACTATGCCAAACTATGCCCGACGATCTGCTCACATTCAAATCTGAATAACTTTGACTTTCTTCGGAGAACTGTGGCTCAATTTAATTATCCTAAGTCGCTATATTTACCTCGGAATCTAACCCAGGAAGCAAAATTTCTCTGTACTAGAGCATCGCTCTACTAATTCGGAGATTTCCTGAACCGAACCCCGCTGCTAGCCATTCCAACTTAAAAACGTCGTCTCTTTCCTCAGAGTCCTTCGTCTTACGAACATTTTAGTTCTTTCAATATAAGTTATTCATAAACCTCAATGCTCTATAGAATGTCGAAAAACAGTAAAAATGAAGCCAATTACAAATACCATCCACATTTCTAATTTCGTAATTTTTTATGCGAAGGTTGGCAGAGCCATAAGCTGAAAACCAAAATGCTAGACAAGCAAATACTTAATATAATTGCTGTTACATGAATGGGACTATTGTGCAGTGCCATACAAACATTGTGTAGCTGTGATGAAATGTAAGCTACAGCTACTGTGAACTGCGTGGAAGTAGCTTGCATTGCGCCCAGTGGTTGTTCTTTTATGGTTTATTTAACGACGACACATTGTCTACTAAGATGGCTGTCTTCTGAGTTGTTGCACCATGTAGTCTGATAGTAGTTTATCGACGTTTCAGAGGTTCTTGCTGCCTCCATCATCAGGGTTATAACAATGGGAGGATAATTAAACATGACTTCTGAAATCCCTGGAAGGAATGGTGGCATATTTCTGGTCCTATCCGAGAATTATTTACAGCAGCTGAGGAAAAGAGTGCTAAAGTGATCTGGTCTCCAGGCCCAGTTAGATTCTAACCTAAAACCTCTCGAATAAGTAGCAGGAGTGCCAATCAATACATAAGCCGATGTATTCAGTTGGTTAAGCCATTTCTCTGTTAGTCAATATACAGATCATGTTGCAGTGTAAGAATGACTTTGCCGAATCTGTGTGCTTCACAATTATGCTTGTTTTGAAATAGGTTTATTTATAAAATAGCAAGTCATTCTGACATAAATTTCTATCAACAGTTGTCTCTTCTCGCTCTTGAGGAATCTTCACTGACGACCGTAGAGACCTATTTTTAATTTTGCATAAACCTGGGGAAAATCGTATTAATGTTCTTGGGATGGACATGCGCTCGATTCCAGATACTTTACGTACCCATAGGTATAAGACCTTTATTATGTCAGTACGAGATTATGTATGCTTCAGTAAGATGAGATTGGCAGACAACATAGTACATAGAAAAATATCTGCACATCATATTATGGGTGGTAAATAGTTTAAAATAAATACTTTTGGCGATGGCACCGTGCTACTGCATTACCCGTATTTTATTAAAGAGCCACTGTGAAGAATGAAAGTTATCTTACCAACTACCTGTTCTTAATATAGCACCCTGTGAGACAGTATACGCTGTAATTTGTTTTGGAAATAATATAAAAGTTTTATCTGTATTTGTTTACCCAGGTTTAAGTGTTTAACTTTATAGAGCAAAGTCCTTGAAAAGACGATAGTCACTCAACGGTCAAGAATTCCTCGTATTTATTGAATCTGAAAGTTCCTTACCGCGTTCACAAAAGCCCGTCTCTTGACTCTACCCTGAATCAGCTGAATCCACTTGCATCACAGAACGTTAACGAAATGAGCAATGACGTCAGAAAAAGGTCCTAATCACAATAAGAGAGGACACTATTTAGATGCTGTGAAGTAAAATACGGCGGCAAATAGAACTTACATAAATGTCGTTCTATGCTATTAAGCAGTTTATAATTTTAACCGTGACTTCAATTTATTGAATTTGAAGAAGTGGAAAAGAACCAGTGAAATTCAAGTGGAAGTGATTTCTTTCGTATTTTCATCTCTTACCTCTGTTCCTTCGATCTACATTTGGTATCTCATCTGGTCTATTCAGGGTTTTCGAATAAAGTTTTTATTCATTTCGCAAGTCCCACCTATGTCCTGCTGTCTCTCGCTTCTTGATACAGCCAACTAGGAAAAAGTATTTCGCACCGCAATGCACATAACAGCCTCGATGCGTATATTAGGTGAAGAGTGCAGTAATTGTGTAATTTTCTGTCTTCCTGTTTCTTGGATCCAAATAGTTGCCTCAGAAAATCTCTGTTTCTCGTTCAGGGTCAGAAACCGTTTCCTACTCTGTAATCTAATGAACTGAAATTTAAAATTATTCATTGTCAGGACTTTTTCCATCGTCTGTTCTTTAAAATCACGACGTTTCGGAGGCTGGTTCTGTTTCCGTCTTCAGGTGAGAGGTACCTACTCTGTTTGGACCCTTAGATAGAGCTAGTCTCTGTCACCGTCTCACCTGAAGACGGAGACAGAACCAGCCTCCGAAACGTCGTGATTGTGATTTTAAAGAACAGATGATGGAAACATTCCTGACAATGAATAATTTTAAGTGTAAACTACCGTCGTCAAAACCCTTTAGAATTTAATGAACTGCATGTTTGTTACTCTTGTTTTCTGTTACACTTCTCATAGCCGCTTAAATTTGGCTGGAAGAAATTTAGACGCCCAAGACGTAAACGGGGAGATAAATATTGTTAAAATTAATTTACGGAAAAAGAATTACTGTAATAATTTAGTACAGGGTCAGGTAGATTTTATACCACAACAAAGTAGACGTAGTCTGCCTTGGGCCTTCGTGCGTCACGAGATGAAACGCTATCATACACAGAACAGTTTTTATTCAAAGCTGTGAATAAAAGGGCGAAGGAGCGCTCGTGATTAATTAAAGAGATATTTGTGTGTGTTTTTTATTTTTAAGAATATTTGGGGCAGTAGTAGAGACCTGGGTTATAATGGTAGCTTCATCATCCAGCTTTGCGCTATTTTTTGTTTGTTTCAGTAAATCTTAAAAGTCAAATTTCATGTAGACATGTTGTGTAAAATCCATAAACTTGCTCACCGCACAATTCATTAACCATCTTGCCCCAGGAAATGTTAGAAACTTCACCTAACCGTAGCTTTTGTGTGCGTTATCGTAAACAATTTCGTGTCCATAAAATAATTAATATAATAAATTTATGGCAGTGCTGAGTCTTCTTCACCAATAAACTGAAATTTATAAATAAAATAATCAAAAGGACACGTGCAAAAGCAATGTGCCTATGTGATCCAATATTGTTACTGTTTCTTTAATTCTTAAACAAGAAGATATACGACCTTCGTACTGCAGTATCTGTAAGAGTTAAATAGCCCTATTAGCAATGGATATGTATTTATAAACAATGGACTGTAAAATTGCAAGTAAACGTCTGAAATGTTTTACGTAGTTTTCCCATACATCATGTACAAAATGTAGCCCCTAAGGTACAGGTCCGGCAGAATAAGGGCGAGTTCTGCACACGAGTAATGGAAACAATTCATATTAACATGGCTCGGAAATTACTCCTTTCAGAGATACAGCTTTCTGAAAATTACGAAGTGGCGTCAGTTTTTTGTGACATTCTCTCCGTGGTTAGTACGAAAATTTCACAGCAATTATTTAAAATGCCTACTTGCACGTCTCGGGAGCAGAGAAACTGCTGGCGGAGGCCTCTTGCGTGCCCATTAAAGAGAGAACATCCATTACTTCCTGTAGTGAACATTCATTTTCATGGAACACTAAGCACGAATTGCTTTCATTTGCATCACCGATACAGCCATCTGTTCAGACTTTTAGCATTAATAAAGCAAACGAAATTTAGAGAGTAGAAAAATGCTGATTCTGGTCGTTGTAAAAAGTCACAAATGGCAATGGTAGTTCTGAATCTATTGAATATATTTTGTTGTTTGGAACGTAGAACTCATCCTTGCATCCGTGTTAAAATTTTATGTTAACACGTTTTATATGACACCCACAATAATAAAAGGGTAAATAAGTACTGTAGACAAGGGTGATAATAAGATCCATTATTTCCGGCAGAGACTTAATCGCGTTGCGAATTTAATTCGTCCAAAGGAATAGCGTCTATTATATATCACTGATGTAGCAGAATAGCCATGGGAATTTTATATAATTGGCACAACATTCATTTGTCATATTTGTGACGTGACCTTTGTTAGCAAATGCAAGGTCCTGTAGCATTTTTTACCCCGAGCAAAACATTTTATGACCATCCGTCAAACACCCGGAGAGAGAAAAAAAAAGCAATTAAGTTATCTACGCAGAATAAATGTTTCGAGGATACATTTTTTCTGCAGTAAATGTTAGGTAAGTGTAAAACCGGATGTTTAATAATAGAAGGGATTATTTCAAAGAACAGGAACAAAAAAGTAGCGTGGATTCCATTTTTTAACACGTGAACCAGTTTTACATAAGTACAGAAGTACTTGTTACTGTCTACGTGGTAAATTTAGAACTCCAAGAACTGGTCCTTGCAGGAACACCAGTAGAAAATTTTGTACGCCACTACACGCTAAATTACAACGGTTAATTTTTTATGTTCAGTCTCAGTGTTTCAACCCAGTCATCTGATACTGTTGAGAGTTTTAGTAACTGTCCATCCAGTTCACGTCCTTTTTCAACACACAATTACTTTAACAGTGGGTATAGTTTGGGGAGTGACAAGTGTTTTTAGAGGTGATTCCAGTATATTATCATTTCTAGCGCACACTGCAAAATATCACATATACCCAGTTAGAGAAGTCATAAAGTGACTGCTCCCACTGCTGGCTGCATAAAATGAAATTAAATATGAATAATTATAGCTTGTTCATCACCATATAAAATAATATAATATGGCAATAGTTTTCTCTCTGTCTCTTCTTCTTTTTCTTCTTCTATGGCTCTCCGGTCTGTATTTGGTCCATGGCATCCTCAATTCTCCTCTTCCATTCGGTCCTCTGTTAGGTCTGTCTGTCCGAGGCTTTGATTGAGGTTTTGAAACATCTTCCTTTTTGCGGTGCAAGGTTGTTAGCCTTGCGACCAACCCCCAACCTGGAGGACCAGGGTACCTGTCTTAGTCTGACCTCTCCCCCTGGATCAATCTAGCTAGAGAAGCCCTACCAGTAGCTATGCTACCGCCACTGAGGTACTCAGGCCCCACCACCACGACAAGGTGCAGAAGAAAATATATTTTTATTCATATATGTAGTACATTAAAATATTTAAAAGCACACAGATTAAAATACAGTTTTATAAATCTTTACAGTTTCCTTTAGTTCATTGAAGGTAAATGAGTGGAAATTTCACAGCAAAGGACGTGATATAAAAAATGCAAACAGAAGTTTATGTGCAGTCCTGTGAAATAGACCTACATCATACACATAAATCTTTTATGTTCAAGTAGTATATAACGGCACAATGCAGATGAAACAAGATGATAAGTTGCAGTCTTTACTCATGCCTGAAACATTTCGCATCCAGTATTCCGTCTTCTTATGCAACATTGAAGATTCTTTATTCTTCATGAGAAATGCATATAGCCAGCCTATTGCAGGAGTTTGAAAAAATACTCAACCTAAAAAAAGATGAACGTTATTAACATTCACAAAAACACGTACCACAGACGATATACTAAATGCAGAAAAAAAACATGTTTATGCTGAACTTAAAAACAGAATCTCCGTGAAACACCTATAGCTCTACGGTCACCTTTGTGCTGTGTAACCGATTATCAGTTCAGCCATGTACTTGAGATGGCCTGTCCTCACTGAAGTTTTTGTAGTTGTCCTTAAACCCTTTAAGCACAATCTGGGGCAGTACCTCCACAAATATCACAACTTTTTGCTACCTCACAATTCATCCTTCATAACCATAAGCTATGCAGCTAAGAAAGTAGCGTTGAATAAACCACAAAGAGTCTGAAAACTTAAAGGATGAGACAACTTGGGGCAGCTAGGCACAGATGAGGGGGATAACATTAAAATGCACCTTACAGAAATAGGATGTGAACAAGATCAGGGCAGGGCCCAGTTGCAAGCTCTCGTGAACAATGTAATGCACCTTCCGGTTCAAGAAAGTGGGTAATTTCTTGGACAGATGTGAAACTATCACCTTCTTAATTTATTGTGTTGTCTCTTCCTTCTCCTCCAACCTCTGAACCAGCTGACAGGTTTTTGTGAATCTCTGTACGAATATAATGCCTCTGGATGCTACTCCACCGTTGTATCTTTTAATTAATCACACGTAATACCAATATGGCAGCCACGCAAGCAACACCGACACTGCTGACTCTGAAATTTCGTATGCCAATCTTCAAAATACTACATTCTGAATTTCAGTTGTTATTTTCTTTACAAATATATTGATATGATGACTGAAATCTGAATTCTTCCTTTACATTTCGCAGTGAAAACTTGTACACTCTGTTCTGATAGAATTATCTTACAATACTGTATCAACTGCAGACATTACTGAGCAGCAGAACGGATGCAGAAGGGAACATTTATGGTGTATCTGTATCAATGAAGAAGACCATGACAACCTCAGTCAGAATAGTCAGGTACCATATGAGTGTGTCAGACATACGGCAGTCGTGACAGCGCACTTCTACACCATTCTTCAACTATGCACCTCTTAGTAACCTTTATCATCATTATCACTGTATTGACATTCTTTACTCTTAGTAACTGACAAAATTACCTCCAAAAGTCCATCTTCTGGAAGATCTGTACAGTGTACTGCATTCTGTACTTTGGTTTTGCCAAATTTAGCTCTGAGCGTATTGGGACGCAATTCCCTTGCTAATTCCTGCAAAAATAAAAAATGTAACATGCCACAATCCGATTTCCCGAAACTTACATTGATCAGCCTATCATGGTGATAAACAGTTGTCACCAGTGTCAAGGAATAAGGAGTAAGCCTGCAGGCCAGTTCATCATAAACCAAAGTCTAGAATGTAAGGAGCTTTATACCCACACTCCCTATAAATCTTCATGTTGAAGCTGGGCATGAGGCAAACTGTTACCTTTACCTCTTTCCTGACATCTTAATTTCGTCTAATACAGAATGATCTCATACCGGGTCTGTGGGCCCCACGAAGGCACGGAAGTTACTCGGTGTGGCACCATCAACCCCTGTGACCTCCACCGCCACACTTGCCCCTGACACTAATTGGTTCACCATTCCCTGCAAAATTTTTGTCACATGTGATAATCAATTACATACAGGAGAAAGACTCGAAAAGAACATTCTACACTGTTCTGTAACAAATCCATTAGCATTCTGATAAAGCTGAGCTCTTACTTTCACATTAACAACAAATGTGAAAGAAAGAGCTCAGCTTTATCAAAATTAAAATGTTTATAAAAATGAAGAAACAATTGTTACCTTATGTTCAAGAATGATAACAGATAAGTTGAGACCTGCATATAGATGGGAGAATCTGATTAAAATGTAACTAACAAAAGAACACCCCCCCCCCTCCACATACTATCACTTAGATTGTGCCCTAATGTCTCAGGCTCTGTAAAATTACTGTTTTCAGATTCAAAGATAATTTAAAAATGCTGTGTAAGCTGCATGTGTTATTTTATGTCAGATAAGTGGATGATCATGTTCAGTGAACTGGAAAGGAAGCAGTCATGTCTATTTTGGCACTTTACCCAACGGAAAATCTAATGTGGACCACTATTTGTAATACAAATTAGCTGGTATAACCTGTCTGATCATTAGGTATCATGTAATGTTTACCACTCACCGAGTACTCTGCCACAACGCCTTTGTAAACTTCATAAAATTCTTCAGCATTCGGATGCTCCATGTAGAACATTTGGATTGCTGTTATCTTGAAGCCATTTTCCTGTATTTCTGACACTATATCTCCTAACAGACCTGAAAATACAAAGCCTCACATCAGAAATATAATTAAACTGAAAATCTTCAAAACTACACTAATAATTTTTAGGTGATGACTGTTATGCTAATTTATCAGAAATTTTGCCAAATCACAATTTTATTTTACCATTGAAAAGACAATACATTTGTACATTAAGTGAAAAATGCAACCCACAATCTGCATTTAATTATTAGAAAAATATTCATAAACCATTAAAGTGTTATATAATTGATAGTACTACTTATTTGTCAGTGGTGGTGAGTGAAAATGTTAGCTCCAGTTCAGCTATATATCTATTAAACAAGTGTTCACCATCTGGCACTAGTTAACTGGAGAAAAAAATTGTGGGGTTCAAACCTCCCTCTGATATGGCCTGCTATCATAAGTTGCTCCTGAAAATGAAGACTACTAACATCTCAAACCATTTCCAAACTAACTGACCATATTATGGTGTCAATAGCCAAAAATGGAAACACAAATTTTAACCAACAATTTGCAATTACAGTAGTGAACAAACAACCTTCCTGAACAGCATGTGGTTTGATGATGCAACAGGTGGTATTCTTGAAAGTGGCTGTAGAACGTGGAGACTCGTATTGGGCAATTCGACTTGTCGGGAAGAAAATGTAAAGTTCCTAGTAAGAAAAACAGTGATTCAATGTCAGGAAACCACTGAGGCCAACAGCATTCACAAACTGCCAATATTAATGCTATATAACGGATCACAAAGTTTCCTAAATAAAATTGGCAACCTATTGTTGTTTCCTCTCGTATGTGCCATATGCCCAGCACTTATCATCATCCTTGATTTAATAATCCTATAGGCCAAGATAAAGAGAACAAATTGTGATGTTGCTTATTTTATCTCTCTTCAGTTCTAAGCATGTTGTTCAGTATCTGTCTAGGAAACCAAGTTTCACGCTGAAATGAATAGTGCACACACCCTTTCAGCAGCTGTACATGAATCTGAACCATGAGCTGCATTAAATGATTTGTCTATGCCAAATCGAGCTCGTATGCTGCCCGGTGCATCTTTACGTGCTTGTTCCGAGTCAGTGGGTCCCAGAAGTTCACGCCATTTTGCCACTCCATTATCTGCAAGCAGCTCCATTGCAATAACTGGTCCTGAAGTCATGTATTCAATCAGGAAGCTGAAACAAGCTGTTGGTCTTCCAAAGCTTCAAATTCAGGAAATGACATTTAACAGAAAAGAAAACACAACTTACAGTTACAGTGAAGAGAAATCCCAGTTATCATTCCTTTCATGCATGTGCAAAGACATCTGTTCAATGTTTTCTATGCAGAATTAAATTTAACTTCTACTTGGGAAGTGTGGTGGGGAAAAATGACAAGATACAAAATGAGAAGAAAGAACTATCTAGTAAATAAATCATGGAATGAAGATAAGAGAAAAGTAAACTACAAGCAGTTGAGATTAAATTCCTGACACCAATATCAGAAAAAACAGAAAAGAAAGAGAGCTTTAGAACAACATATACTCAGGGAGACCTCAAAATGGAGGAAATACAGAACCAGGTGCAGAGAAACAGATTGAGATGGTTTGAACACATGAAAAGAGTGGATGACCATAGAATACCAAAAAGATTTTTGGAAATGAATAAGTGGAAAAAGATGCAGACCATGCACATGATGGACAAGCCATGTTACTGAGAGATGTACAGAGGACAGGATAGGATTAGAGAAGGGTAGATGAAATACAAAAGAAGACAAACGAAAAATAAAATTTATTGACACTTTGTCATGTTTATTGGTTACAAACTTTAGACCCATTGGCCAATTTATAAAGCAGTTGGACCAGGGAGGCTGTAAGAAATGCCTTCAGAATATTTATCATTAATAACAATAGTAGTTTTTCAGTGAAATTGAATTTCAATTGTTCAGATCCATTATTATGGATATTAAATGTACACAAACAGGTTTTATACTCACGGCAGGAATGGTTTACTCTTATGCTCTGCATAGAATTCCAAAGCATGTTCCTTGGTCATTTGTACCATTTTTAGTTTTGTAATTTTAAAGCCATTTTGTATGATCAACTTTAATACTTGGCCCATTTTATCTACAATATCAGGTTTTAGCATTGCAAATGTCCTGTTGCAACAAAAAGGGAAAATATAAATCATACAGTAATTTTTTTTATTTAAATTTCTAACTTACAAATAGACAGAAAAAAGGAGGAGTAATCATACTCCATTAATGACAGCATATGCATAGAATGATGTCCCTAAAATGTAAATTAAACAGAAGAAACCAAAGCTTGAAAACCAAATTTAACATATGTAAGATCTGAGGTTTTCACAGCAGTGAGAATGAAGATTGCTGTCTTCTGGGTTGTTGCGTCATGTAGTCTAGTAGATGTCCACCAACATTTCAGAGGTCATGCTACCTCCATCATCGGGGCGATGAAATACAGACTACACGGTGCAACAACCCAGAAGACAGCAATCTTCAAATTTAACATAACTTAAATGTTGACATTTCCTCGAAACCAGATGTAATGATTACACGTCCAGGATTTGGTGTTCTAGAATTATGTAGAGGCATTCCACATCACATATAACAGTACACCAATATGACTAACACATACTATCCTCATTTGTGAAAACAGGGTACTTCACATGTAGGTGAGGTTAGCATTAAAGTGAAGGAAGCTTTAAGAGAAGCATTCCATCCCTTATATCTCAATATTTGTGACATACAAATGGGAAGATAGATGTCTATAAATAAATAATGCATAACAAGGTACAGGAAACCATTTTATGTATATCAGTGGTCATTCAAATATATCAAGAAAATGTTCATGTTGTTTTTGAGGACTTTATTCTGTAAATGGGTAGTTCTGTTATTATTAAAAAAATTAGTTGTTCTATTTCAACAAAGTGCAGTTCTATTGTTTTTGTCAAAGCTCTTAAAATAAGTCTTCATCACTTCACTGATCACCAAAGTAATAATTACCTACATGTCATATGAGGGATATCTTCAAGATTGTCTTACCTCTGTTTAACAATCCCTAGATGCAAATGTGTGTATTCATCTGAAAATCCAGTAACTTTCATCTGTCTTGAGAATATGTTCACTGTTGCACCAATGTACAGATCACTGAGAGTAATACCATCACATTTTGTGCGTCTGAGAAATAACCGTCTATACTTTGTGTCATACTGTAACAATCATACTATTATTACAGGTGTAATTAACATACTATAGACATCCTAGTTCCTCTCTTCAAGGAATAATTAATTTTATATTATTTTATGGTATACGTACAAGTAGATTCCACCTAAGCACCATGCCATGAAGATAATGTTGGGCACATAGGTAAAGCTCCACTCATTTTAGACCTCAATATTAAATGGGGTTGAATGGTCAGTTTCACACTCTGACCACATTAAGGACAGAATCTCCCAGTACCCATTGGATGGGAGACTGAGTGCAAGTAGCAGCAAAGAGAAAATGCTTATTGAGACAGTGATAATATTTAGAAAAGAGAACAGTTCAATTAAATCTGGCTGCATCAGTTTGTATGATGGACAAAGTTAAAACACAAAGTCAGTCAGAATAGCCAGTTCTTGCTGAGAATTGAATCCAGGGCCTCCTAAATATGAGTCAGATAAATTGCTGCCATGCCAACTTGTAAGGGTTAATTTACCGCATACAAATCCTCATGTAACACATTACCAAAATATATTTCCTTCAAGAAGGAAATTCGCATTTCAAAAAATCTTTCCATTTACTGTACATTTTACATGTATTTTTAAAGGGTTAAATATTTATAAAGATTACTTACTAGTTCAATTGTTCCATCCACTTTATAATAGAATAAAATAAATGTTCTCATGACAGAAGCTTCTATATCATTCCACTCAACGTTGAAGCTATACCGAGAATTATCAACATCACTCTGGAAAAATAAATGCAGTCTTTTATGATAACTGCAAGTCACACAAAATAGAATCCAACACCCACACTTGAAAGCCAACACATGTAAGAGAAAAATAATGAGACTTAATTTGTCTGGTTCTTTAATGACACTTCATCCATTACATACATTATACATAGCTATATATATATATGGTAGTGCTGTAAGGGGGGATGGCTGTGAATATGAAATTGGAAACAACACATGGACAAGTTGTGAGGGAACTATCTCACTGTTTCTCCAGAGGGACTCAGGAAAACTGGGAACTTTCTGTAAGGACAGTGATACTGCAAGTCAAGGCTCATATCCCCCTCGTGACACATCAGGAACAACAATAAATTTGAGTGGTTAGCTGTCCTGCATCATATTCAGAAGAATCAAGGTTAAAACCCTAGCCTGGAGACCAGCTATCCTGTGTGAACTTTTATATGGTTTTCCTCAGTCCCTCAAAGTAAACATTTATGTCATCATCACTGTTTCTGAATTATGTGATAAACTATAAATTTCATTTGCATTTTCCAAATATGAATAAAGTCCTCTAACCTGATGTAACAATACCGATAAAAAAACCACTACGAAGAGGTGCTGCATGCGACCGGTCTGTGGAAAAGAATAAATGCAATAACAGAAGCCTTACGTACTACACAAACTTCAGTAAAAAATCAGATTATAAAAGAATTACGCCTGATGGCAGCGACTCACCATTGTGGAAATTGTTGCACTTCATAAATACTTCAATACTCATATATGCCAGAAGTACACTTTGGATAATCAAGTTTATACATAACCTAGTTTCCTATACGTGCTTAAGTGTGATAATTTCTTGGATGGCATTTGTTTATGTCAACTAACAGCAGCCAACTGTGGTAATGAAAATTCCTCGTTGTAAGGAAACTTCACATTTGCTCCTTAGACGTTTCAGTATACTAATTAAAATTTACTAATTGTGAGAGATGATAAAACCTGACTCTATAATGAAGTATGGAATAATTTTGGGGGGTAATTCAACAAACAGTAAAAAGATATTCACTTTACAAAAGAAAATTGTTGCGGTAATGGCTGGTGTCACCTAGAAATTCATGTAGAAGTCTAAGAGATTAGAGATCTTAGCTCTTCCTTGTGTTGGGCAAGGCCGTGGTCTAGGCAACACGGAGTTTTCCTCCGGGGGCTTCCCCGGTTTCTCCGTGACATCCCAACAATTACTCCATTCACACACAGAAGAAGGCAATGGCAAACCACTTCTGGATCATCTGCCAAGAACGTATATGAACAGGTCCCAGTCCGAGAAAAGGATGGAAGGATCCAGTTCATATGGACCTGTCGTCAGACAGAACACTACATAAAAAAAAATTGTATATGACCAAGAACTTTTTCAAACTAATTCTGTTGTACACAGTGTCAACACAAGGAATAAGAATCAGCTTCTTAGACCAGCTGCCATCTTCTCATGTTTTCAGAAGAGTACATATTATGCAGGGATACAAATTTTCAACAGTCTGCTATCAAGTCTCACAAGTCTTGTAAATAAAACGGCACAATTTAATGTAGCATTAAAAAGATACTTAATTACACACACACTCCTTTTACTCTCTCGATGAATTTCTATTGTTTACAAATAATTGATAATTTATCTTCTGTATGTAATGGGTAGATTTGTAAGATTTGAGGGAATGGGTAGATTTATTTGTAACTTGTCATTGCTTTAGATTAACCCTTTGTTCGAATTATGTGAAATTTATATAATAGTATGAATTGTACTTTATAATATGTATTTTATTATTATGACTTTTTCCACATCCTACTGTCATCTGAGTATCTTATGGATCCATGGAATGTAAGAAAGATGTATGTGTGTGTTTTGTGCACTTGCTGGAGGGGGAAAAGGGTTTTTGGACTACATTAATTATCCTCTTCTTAAATTAATGTGGTGTATTTGTTACAGACACGTAGAATAAACTACACTGCGCATATCAGGTTATCGGCCCAGCCTTACGAATGGAAATAGTACAATATTTTATGTGACTGGAAATTGGTATGTAAACAGCGAGGTTATGACTGATGAAAAGTGTTTGTTTGGTGAACTGATTTGTAACATATATCGCAATCATCATTACTGTTCAAAAATGACGAACTGTGCTTGTCCTGCCCTCTGGGGATAGAAACTGTAAGTGATCTAAAGCTATGGAGTTTGCGTTCAGTTTCTATCTCTGTATTAGTCATTTGATGTTTCCTTGCGCGAATGTGGTTTTTCGCCACGTATCGTATTCATATGCATGGTCCGTTTTGTCAGCCAGTTGCTATTTTGTTCGGTTTGGCGATGAGAGTTAGTGGCTTATTCAGAAATAATCGAGCATAAAAGAATTGCACGAGCTGTGGTTGTAAACGAAGAAACATGAATCCTATGACGTAAGTATAATTTGTAAATATTGCGTGGCAGTGTTAATTGTATATGTGTTACGGTTGCTCAAGTAGATTATTCTAAAAAATTTCGTGATTTCCAGCAATGTGAAGAACATTAAAAAATTAAGTGAGCTTGAACTGAAACGGAATTTGAAGACATCATGGCATGACCAGTATAAAGATAGTGCCTGGATTTTTGTTGGAGGTTTGCCATATGATTTAACAGAAGGGGACATTATTTGCGTATTCTCACAGTAAGTAAATTCCAAACTTACAAATATCAGTTTGTGTATTTAATTCATTGTCAGACTTTAGGACATTGGATCTGTTATGGTTTTATGCCAATTTAAAATGGTCTTCCCCATAGGCTTGTGCACTGTAATTTGGTTTGGTATTCAGTTGTGCTCAAGGAAGTTTCTGTACTGGAAGTTAGTTGGCACGTTGTCCTTGAAGGATCTTTTGTAACAACACTGTGTTTGGGATGTACACTGTAGAGGCATTTATTTTTGCATAATGTGACATTTTGCTAGTCATATTGGCACTAATGTTAGTGCTGTCAGCTGTTTCTCAGGAGTGTATGCCTCACTTATGTAAGAGTTTTGTAGAAATGGATGTTTATATATTTTTAATGTTGATTTTGTGTGATTCTTGTAATGTTATTTGTTTAATGCTTGTGCTCAGGTATGGTGAGGTGGTTAACTTGAATTTGGTTCGTGACAAAGCAACTGGCAAATCCAAGGGGTTTTGTTTCCTCTGTTATGAAGATCAGCATAGTACTGTGTTGGCAGTTGATAACCTGAATGGCATAAAAGTATGCATAGCTTGACTATTTTGAATTAGTAGAATGATTAGTTAAGAATCAATTTTGATATATTTATGGCTCTTTCAATCATAAAACTGGAGGAAGTGAAAAAGACAGTGGAAGCTACATTTGAAGAGCTAGAGCACTTGCTGTTATTCTAAATACTGATATTAGACAGATTTGCTGCCATATTAAACATATTAGCACTATTCTTATATATGCTTTCTAAATATTAAAAAGTACCTGAAATTGGCACAGTGTGGAGGTCATGTTAGTATACATATTTCAGTTCCAGAACTACTGAACAGTTTCCAGTTATATTTACCAGTAGTAAAGATCTACCCTGAAGGTTCACAGATGAGTTTCATTTTGGTCAGTATCAATTCAATTTTAACTCCTGCTTCAATGGAGTTCAGCTCAAACTTTACAAATTTCTGAAAAATATCTCGTCTTTATTATTGCTACATGAGATAAAAAATACATATTTTATTTGGAGTGCTTTTGTGTATATATTACTTCATTCTAAGACAAAGAACAATAGCTTGTGTTGGTTTTCTGGCTTGTGCTGTGTGGACTTGTAGGTAGTTACCAACATTTTGGAGGAACAGCCTTGAAAATGGCTGTGGTGTTACTCTGAAACATTGGTGCCTACTTTTGCAGTCCACATTATCTTACAACACAGAAGACTAATATTAACATTTTCAACATCATTAGAACCTCAAATTTCAACAATTGTATCTCTGTATGCAGTGTGCATATACAGTTGATTACTGCCAATACCAAATTTGTATATTTTGTTTATCAACGTGCAGATAATTAAGGTGTTCAGAATTGCAAAAACACATTTTAATTACACTGGTTTTTAGATCCTAGATTTGTTTCAAAATATTTCATAGTTGCTTCATTGTATACTCGCTTAAGTGTTGTGGTATTTATATAATTGGTTAACACTGTTTTATTTAGTTGCTTGGCCGCACAATACGTGTTGATCATGTGGCTGACTATAAACCACCAAAAGATTCAGATAAACTGGATGAAGAAACACGGAAACTTTATTCTGAGGGCTGTGCACCATCACGCAGCATACTTCCTGTAATGCGTGAGGAAGGTGAGAGAGTTAAAGTTAATATTTTACTTTTTTGTGGTCTTTTTAACAATACTATCAATGACTAATAAACACTATGTTGTGTCAAATGATAGAATGATTGTTAATGAATTGGAAAAGATGTGGAAAGAAGTGGTCATGGCTAAATTTCAGGTACTAATAATGTAAGGGTGATTAAATCAAGAACAGTGAAATGGAAGGGAGAAATGAGAAACAAATTCTTGGTGAGAAAACCTTTATTACATGAAAAATGCTGATTAAACCCCTATTACATGGGTGCTGGGTGGATTGACACCAGTTTAATGATTTATGGCCAGTTGGGCCACATGTAAGAAATGGCACATCATTGATAAAGTTTATGGAATTTTTGGGTTTGTGTCAGATCAGGCCAAATGCATATTTTCCTACATGCCTTCACCTTTTAATAAGTCCAGATTGTAAATTTGGAAAATATCAAGCCTGTACCATGATTTGGGGACCATGTCAGAACTATTGGTTTGCAGCTAAAATAAAGTTTAATATGTGTTTGTTTGAGTCATTATGCAGTCATATATAGTACTCTGTTTTTTACTGTAAATATATAAAATTATGCATACAAACAGAACTGTTTGCACTTTGAAAAGACACTTGGTGCCATTCCATTTTATACTCCCAAATATTGCAGATTTACACATTTAAGACTGAAAATATGAAGGCTTGACTAAAAAGGAGGCACCTTGCGCTGCCAATTTTTATGACAAGTTTTGTAACTCTTATACAACATAATAACATTAACTTACCCTTGATTTTGTTTTTAGAGAACAAAGGTAAACCTAAGACAAAATCGAAAAAGGAGAAGAAAAAGAAAAAGAAGAAGAAGAGAAAGCAGGTTTCAAGTAGTGAAGAGAGTTCAAGTGACAATTCAAATTCAGATTCAGGCTCAGAAAGTGACAAAGAGAGTGACGACAGTATTGTCAGCCCATGCAACAAAAAACATAAGCACAGCAGCAGGAAAGGTGCAAAGAAACGTAAGAAAAAGTCAAAAGTTGTAACAAGTGATGGTGATTCTTCAACAGAAAATGAAACTATTAGGGAATCTCGCGAGAAGCGCCGTAAACTTGTAGAGAAAATTAAAACTCTAGAGGCTGTGCTTAATTATACCAGAAAAGCATCAAAGAAGGCAAGTGCCACAGAAGAGCCATTATCAAAGCCTAGGTCAGATGAATCGCTTGAGAAGGCACATGTTGAACATTATAGTCGCAGAAGCGAAAAAAATTCTACCACTGAACGAGGTGATAAACAGAAGAATACTTACCATGAGAATGGGACATTAGACAGAAAACAAAATCATGGTGATAGCACATTCAGACGGCAGGAACAGGTAGGTGGAGAGATTGTGGAGCGTGATGATAGGCAATGGAAGAGAAGTGATGATACAGGTCCTTCAAGAGACAGAGAAAGGTTTCGAGCACAAGAGAGAATCCATGATAAAGACAGAGATTGGGAGCATGACAGGTTCAGGTCACGTGACAAAGAACGATTTACAAGGGAAAGGGGTCGTGACAGACGTTGGGATAGGGGTCAAGAACGTTGCAGGAGGTGAGAGCTATCATATTATTTGTTATTGCTATTTAAATTCTGCAGCTGTGCGCTAGCTATGCCAAGTCATGGAAGAAGCAGAAAGTGGATTTATATGAATTTCATGTGATGGAAAAGCAGCCTGTAAGCATAATATGGATCATAATATATACATCATAAAGTGTGTCATTGGCTGACTGATTTTACTGGCAGGGAAAGGTTTCGTTACATTATTTTTCTAAGATGAACCATTAAATGCCAGGATGTCAATAGAGGCCAGCTTTTCGTACAGCATCTTACTATATGGCAATAGAACACAGTCTGTAATTGTTGGTGATCTTCAGCCAAATAAGTCTAGTCTACATTCTCACAGCCTATTTCACTAAGAACCATATTAATATTATTGTTCTGCCTCCTTTCTGGTCTTCTGCGTGCCCATCTTATTACATACGTTCAACTCGTCTTAATGTCCTAATTATACTCCAGCTTTGTGCTTTTTAATTCTGTACTGTCAGCAGGACCATCATGGTGACCATGCAAACTTATGAGTTGGGAGCAAAACTAGTGCCATTCAGTGTACAATAACATTATGTTAACTTTTGTTTACAGTTTTGTGACTGGGTGAAATATTTATGTTCTGGTTTCTGTTATTTTGCATTGCAACATGATGTGTGGTATTACAAGGTTATAGATGTTCCATCAGATTTTGTGTAACAGGGTTAGAATTTTTAAAATCCTGAAATGTTGGATTGGTTTAAGTTAGGGTATGTTGTGTTATGTTGTTATATAATGAATGGTTCACTGTAAACAACAAAGCTTCAAATAAATACTGTTATGAAAGTACATTGTGGAGGAATTACATTTGGTTTTAACACTCTGTTTCATATCTTGTTTGTAAGCATGCTTTTTGTAAATATTAAGTTTCACATGAGATGAGTTCAGTTACCTGATTACATATAAATTGATGTTTTTGTGGGAGGAGAAGGGCACTGCTGGTCCGAAGTAAGAATCTTCAAGCATTATAAAAACGCTACATGTTTTTAATGTTTTATTGATTAATAACATATACCCACAAGTCACAAACATTACTTAAACATTTTTATACACAAATACAGTACAAGAATTTGAAGTAATTACTTTTATTTTGGATGGAATGCGAGAATAATAATATGCTTTAAAAGTAAGCAGCAGACATTTTTATTTGTGTGAAATGTGTATACCAGCATTTATGAGACACTAGAGTGTAGCTAGAGGCAAGAAATGTTTGAACATTACACAACAGTTTCTGAAAATGACAACACAATTGTGTTGTGGTGCTGTGCTTTAAGATATGTCTTTTTTCCATCAAGTAATCGGAGAGAAATTCTGAATCAAAACATTTCCAACCCATAGCTACTTCAGTTCTGAGAGATTATTTCATGCTATTAAAGCCCATGTTGTAAATTATGTTGAAATGGAACTCTTTAAATATTTGCTAATGCAGTTGAAACTGTGTAATCTAAAAAAAAGGCATTCTGAAGTAAGTTTATTTGTGAATGTATGTAGTTTCATCAAATATATATTGTGCTTTTTTGAGCTCATTGAGCTGCTAATGCCAAATATAGATGCCCTGGATCATAATACTACAAACAGAACTATTAATTCCAATCTTGTTTAAATGAGAAAAATTATGTTAAATAGTAAACCATTTTAACTGCAGTAATTATGAATGTAGAAAAATGTGCATTACGCACTTTGTTTCTGTTCTTAAAAATATAGGTTTGGAATTAATATATTTAATGCTGGGATTTTCAAGTGCTACAGTGAGTGTAAGTTCAAAGCAGCCATGGCATGACTGGAAAAAGGAAATGGTTCTATTGAAATTAATCCATGCAGATGGTGATTCCTCAGACCTACTTGGGTCTGTGAAGAATTTGGTAATTTTATGACAGCTGTATTATACATGAAATACTTTCTTTGAGTAGCCACAATCTGAACAGTTGAGGATGTGTTATGCCAGCATTACACATTATTTCTATGCACTGGAGTCTTTTAGTTTTAGGTTTATTTCTGTTTGTTGCTTAGAATTAGGCAACATTTTTTAGTTAGAAGACAACAATCTTCAGATTCACCATCATGAAAACCTCAAATCCTACATTTTTTAGTTAACTCTTAAATTGTAAACTTAAAGAATTCTCTCAGTTCTGTCCATATCTTATAGTGCAGTATGTGAAGCAAACAATTTTACACATCCAAGATAGCATGCTTCAGTTGCACAATAAAATTCTAAAGGCAGTCAGGATTGTTGCTACATTTGGCACATCTTTATACTCAAGTCTCTAAAACAATTAATATGAAAAATAAATGAGGTTAAAGTGCAAATTACTGTATAGTCCCCTGAGTAGGAAGGACTAAACACTGCAGTAGAGTACAGTGTGGTGATGAGACCTTTACTGTATTAGGCACTTTAGCCAAAATTAATTGCCTCGTAAGTTCATATGAATTAGAAAGTATCTAATCTAATACAATAATGTCTTTATAAAGAAAGAAATAAGCATTACATTTAGCAGCCATATTTCAAGATAAATCACACTTTCTGTCCTGGAAAGCAAAGGATAATTTTTTGGAAGGACATAATTTTAGATAGATAGTTTAGGTCTGTTGATGACAAATGAAGATTACAAGGATACCATGTAAAGAATGGAGTATCTGTTTGATTCTTAAAACTGTGTCTTATCCTTGAATTCTCATGTATGCCAAAAGTGCTCTTGCTTGCTTTCAGAAACAGAATTGGCAGTTCATCTTGAGGATTTCCACCTCCCATACTTTGTAATTCTCATACAGTTCAGTCGCCCCTTTATAAATATCTTGTAAGAACTTTTTTTTTTGCTCTTCTCATTCCATATTTTGTTTTTGGCGTTCACTGTATTGTTTTGACAATTTATACTTGTCCCTTGTTTCTACATTTCCATACCGCTGCAAACCTTTTATTTTCTGTTTCCTGCATTATACCATTCCCTTTAAATGTTATTTTATACCTAATTCCACATCACCCATCTTGAACATATGCTTCGTAGATTAATATAATTTTAAATTAAGTACAGTGTATAAGTTGATTTGCTTACATTCCCATATTTTATAAAATTCCATGTAAAGTGTTTGATGGTGCTTAATTATTTTTATATCCTATTTACATGAACCAGTGTTATTTCATGTCCTTTGTATTTAAAATTACATTACATATATCAGCCATGCATTAAGAAAAATTATTCATTATGTAAATCTTATAAACCTTTCTTTATTGCTTACAGTGGATAGAAAAGTGAAGTTTATTTTTATTAATTCTTACCTGTAATATGGCTGCACTTACACAAAACCAATGCACCTCTAATGCTCACTACTTTTGGATCTGAAATTCCAGAACCAATTCTATCACCACAACACAGCATATTCATTGCAGTAGCTAAATGATAATATGGGTTGTGATATTCTTGAACATGACATGTCTAATTAGATGTTACCAGTGTTTGGGAGACAGGAAATGTTTTTAAAATATCAATAAACAAAGCTGTATTTTATTACATACATTACAGATTAAGTGTTCTGTTGACAAATTTTGATTCCTCCATCAAGAAACCTCTCTTTTGTACCTGCATTTTGTCCAAAAGTAATTGCTCCCTTTTTTGTTACAGATGTTTTTGGATTGAAATGGTGTGTGTACTATTGCTCCTCCCAGTCAAAATGTGACCGAGTGCTTAATATGATGTTCATAATTACCTTTTTTATATGCTCTCATAGTAACATTTTATTATATTGCCCATTATGTGAACATTATTTTTTCCCCACTTTTAAAGAACATGGACATTGTAAGCTTTCCTTGACACATATTTACTTCCAATCATGCAGAATGGCATATTTATTGCATTACTAAGCGTAGCAAAAGTGTTGCCCATTGAAATTTAAAAAGAAAGATCCATGGCGTAGTAACCATTTCACTGCTGGCCTCAGAAGGTACTATATATGCAGAAAGTTACATATACTATGTCAAATTTTTTATTTTAATTTTTTTCAAGGTCACAGAGAATTTAGTTTTGTAGAATTTGTTATCTGGGAATAAAAAATCATATTTCTTGCCACTAATGGCATGTTTTTGCCCTCCCACCAGTAAGTAGGAAAACAGTGGCAGACATGTCAGAAATACAAGTGATCTGATTTTACCCTCAAATTAAATTACTTGATTTGATTGTCATATTTTAATTTTTGTAAGATGGGAGCAAACCATGAAGTTACTGCAATAAGATATGCTGTAGTTCTACAATATAACAATGAAAACACTAAATAACAATAAAAATTCTATATTAAGAACAGTGTTTCACAACACTTTATTATTATTAACATCAGTCACTAAGTTGAGCATGGTGACATAACATAATGATGATTTGTCCTAAGCTATGTGTTGTATATAGACAGATGCAACATGATGACTTTGGCACATTAACTGAATGAGTTAATATATTATTCATTGCACTGGTGTGCTTTGATGAATACTTAACATATCTGTATTGTGTAGAGTGATCGAAAGTCACAGAGCCTATAAAGCGGCCAAAACGAAGCTGGCCATTTTCTTCAAGTACCATTGTCTTTGAATATGTGGAGCTTTACCTTCATGCATCTATGCACCATCATGTTGTGGTGTTTAGACACAGGAGGAACTTTATCTTTATCTTAGACTAATCTTTATCAACCATACATCACAGATTATACATGTGTGTTGTAGTATTGTGCTAAACACTTAAACCCAGATTAAAGTAATTTAGTTGCTTTAAATCCTCTGTTCTCATGAAATTAAAGTTAATTTTATACAGTTCTACTCCAGATCAGTCCTTGTCTGTGTCTGAGTTAGATGCTATAGTATTTATTTGTTCAGAAATTGGCAATTTGGAAACAATCATATATGTGCATTCTAGTGATTGTTATAAGTTTACTGGTTAAAGTAAACACTGTTCGCATCTTGGAGGATTTACACACAGCTGAAGGTCATATATCTATAATGGAATGTGTTGTATAAATACTGTCTAATTTACTGTAATACAGATAAAATTGGTAATATGGGTTTTGTGACTTTTCAGTTACTCTGTGTTTTGGTTTCTTGGACACATTTGGTCATATTATTCACAAAGAATCGTTAGGAACCCTGAAATGGAATGCTTAAAAATGACTAAATTTTATAAAGGTGCGGTTTTTATAACATTAACCCTTTAAAGCCTGGTGGTAACTATGTGCCACCTGTCATAACAGTAAGGAACTCTGCATTTTGTATTTATGTGCTTTGTATAATTTTTGCAGCAAACTGGGATTATTTCCTCACACAGAATTATGCAATTGATCTTTGCAATGAAGTGTTGTGTTTTATTTGCGGTACAGACTGAATTCTTATATATTATTTAGATGAGCTTGGGTTCAAAGGATTAACATTTAGTAAAAGAAGAACAGTGAAAATTTTGGCATGTAATTACTGAAAACTGCTCAATTAAAGTTGATTGTTCTCTGCTTTTCAAGAATATTAACAGGAAATAGGGCTCAGATACCCCTAGAACAAAAAATAAACTGTCGTACAACATATCTTTCTTTAAGACAAGTTTTTTTCATTTTTCATTGAATGTGACAAACAGTTTATAGCAGTTACTTGCTAAAAATACTCTCTCTACTTTTTAAGATGGTAAGGCTATGAAGGATACTAGAGGAGAATGCTGAAATAGATTCCGGGTACGTAGATGTTATTTGAATAAACTGACCATGACCAATGTTGGTCTTTGGTGTTTGTGATTTTGAAACTTCAGGTTAATTATTGTGGAATTTTTAAGGAAATCCTCCAATTTTAACTTGCCTTATTGAAAACAAAATGCTGCTCATTGTGTAGCTAGATCATGTTCAAAAACAGATTGCAGCACAGTGTCTATAATGCCAGCCTCTAAAGCTAAAAAACAAAACATGTTATTGAATTACTGGTGGTTTTTGAAGCTTATTTTAATTGATCAGTTGTTTCTATTTCCTGTTGCCATAGATATGTTGCCTCTACAACTACGGGATGTTTGTGTGTAGCAATTCAGAATGGCAGAGTGAGGTTCCATCTAATTGTTACTGGCTTTGCAGCAATTAATATGTTGATAAATATTTTCTTGGCGTAACTGACGAAATAAGTGTAGCGCAGATAGTGGAAGGGGATGGCACATTCAGAGAAAACAATAATCAAAATATGGTAAGGAGAAAGTCAAAATCATTGCTCTCATACCTTTTGCAGTAATTATACTGCGTTTCTGTGTAGTGTTTTAGCCATTGCATTAAAATTGTAGAGGCAAAATATTACAAGTCTGCAAATGCTTTATTCACTTATTTGGAGGTTCCTTGTATTTTATTTCGGGGAAGACGGTTCCTGGTCTTCTTTACTCGAAGGAAATTTACTGAGATGAATTATGAATTGTAGTTTCAAACATCATTACTTCTAAAAGATGACATATTTTATCCTTGCAGTTCTGGCTGTTGTGCTTCCTTTTGGACTTCTGCTGGAAGTGAAAATGTTAAATAAATAAACATAAGATGTAATATTTGAAAGGCAACATTTCACATTAGGCTAATGATCGTATAACCAATAAAATATGTAGTTACGCAAGAAAGTAAAACAACGTTAAAAAGAAAAGTAAGAAAAATATAATTTTATAAAGCAGTGGCTGTTTACTCAGTTGTTATGTAGGTTAAACAAGGTAAACAAATGTTAAAGTTCAGTATTATTATTATTATTTATTTGACTGCAAATGGGTTTTTACCCGGTGGCAGTGGTCCTACAATAAGACACAAAACAATAAGACACAACAAAAACAACAGAACAATGAGACAACAAAACAGTAAGACAAAAAAACAAGACACAACAAAAACAATAAGACAACAAAACAATGAGACAGAACAAAACAATAAGACACAAAAACATAAGACACAACAAAAACA